CCTACCGGAACGCTAGCTTCCAGGGGCCTCGACAAACCCGAAGTCGCCCTTCTACAAGTACCCCCGCGAAGCCATGCAGTCTTTTCTCGCGGGCCCCTGGGTGTGTGCTGGGCAAAATCTAGCAATGGCTGAGATGCGGCTGATTGTGGCAAAGTTGGTGTGGTCGTTTGACTTGGAGGTGCTGGCTGACAAGCGGAAATGGGGGAGGTGGGAGGATCTGAAGGCTTTTCTTGTCATGGAGAAGCCTCCAATCAACTTGGTGTTGAGGCTGAGGCCGTAATTCTATCCTTGGCTGATGCTTCCTCAAGGTTTCATCGTATTTGTTTTCCTGAAAAGGTCCTTGCTTCCTATATATGGCACAAGATAGCAGATCGGGACAGAAAGAATCCGCAGGTTTCAACAATCAAGTTGCTCAGAGAGGACCAAGAATCTTAGATCGCAGCTTGGAGGCTGTGACGAGGTTCTCGGCCGACAGGCGCCTCTTCACTGTATGCCGCTTCCACGCCCACCACGACAAAACAACCGCTATCGTCAGGGGTGTGGTGATGGCGAAGAAGTACCAGAGGCGCGGTGAGAACTGGAGGACGTCGACACCATTCTCGTCGAAAGATATGTCAAAGAATACGGTGCTGAAGATGGCCTAAACGTGTTGAAGGTGTTAGTTCGAAGATCATGACAATAGGAGCAGCATGGAGAGCATCTTACGCAGACTAGCGTCCCTGGCAGGAAGACCAAAGTTACGATGGCAATGGTATTCATCGATGTGCTGTCCTGGTGATTGACTTCGGAGATATCTTGCGTCGCAATGTGGAAGGCGAGATCAATGAGGATCTTCGATCTGTCGGCATAGTTGAGCGCCCATCTTCGAAACGCCCCTGTTCGAGAGAGCGTGTTGAGCAGCATGTCGTCAAAGTCTTGACTGCGCTGGGGAAAAGCACTGTGATCAAGCCGTTTGTTGGCCCGTTGGAGGAGATCGATGATGGCCTCGGCGTCTGTGTAGTTCTCGGCAACAATCCGCATCGCCTGAGCAAGTCGATGTAGGATGAACACTTGGCGTCGCTGATTGTGTTTGAGCCACTTGTGTTCCTCGTCTTTCTCATAACTGACAATAAGATTCCGCATGCCGTAGAGCTCACTTTCGTTGAAGCTAGCGAGCTGACCGAGGAGAGTGAGATGTAGCTGAAGCGGGTGTCGATCCCCATAACTCGACGCAGGTGTTTCTGTGAGATACTCACTCCAGACGTTAGAGAGTTCAGAAGGCGGCCGGAGGATGATATTGACGAAACCGACGTTGGCGCCCAGGCTACGGCCATAAACAAAGCATCGTGCCCCAGTGATGATGGACGGGTAGAATAATTCAGTCTCTGCGCCATTGCCGTAGAGCCCGAGGCCGCAAGCTCGTGATATGTATTGGGGGTCGAAGGATGTCTGAAGAACACTCGCCGGAATTTGAAAGATGTTGACAAGCCTCTGGAAGAGTTCCGCAGATATCTGCAGTTGATTGGGGCGGCGTTTCTTGTCTTCATGCCCGAGAACGAATCTGTACGCAGTGAGCGGTCGTTGCACTGATGGGGTTTGCAAAAGCGGGCGAGTATTTACGTACATCGTCAAGTTTCCAACATTCTCTCCTTTTGCGAGAGAAGTCTCAATTTTCTGGTGACAGTCAGCCCCAGCACGCACGACGGTCGCGGCGAATAGCACGGGTAGGGAAGAATTACCTCGAGAAAGTGAAAAAGCCCGCCTTCGTCGAGAACTCCGCAATCTGACCGTCAGTGAGAATTGGGACTATCGACAGTTGGCCTAGCATTCACTAACCGTTATTCTGCTCAACAAAGACTTGCGTTCTGGGTTCGAAATAACTCAAGCGCTCAGCGTATGCGACAATTCCTTCCGGGCGAATGCCCATCGTCGACCTTGAGCTATTTGGCCCCCAAGGCATCGCAAAGAATTCACAGCAACCCAACGGGAGCTTGGTTACTGTGTGAAGATGACAAGATGGCTGGAAGATGATGTTCAAGGCAAACAAGCAGTGATGGGTGGCCTGATGCACGTGCCCCGCAGCTGAGCCTGTCGACCTATCAAAATCCGCGACCCCTGACTGGTTCGCGATCGCGTCGCGGTCGCGCCGCAGAAGCAGGGATTTGTGCTGAACAGACCCGCAAGCAACCTGGAACCGACCAAACAATCGAAACAACGAAATACTCTGGCCATCTCAATTGGACCGGCATCTCTGGTATCTTCGGGCGTTGTCAGCTGGGCGTCGCAGGTGAGGTCGAAAAAGAGCCCTCAGGTGAGCAACCAAGGCAAGCACCTCCGCATCGACACGGGAGTTGCCGAGAGACAGTCCCTGATCATTGTCATTCCTGGTGCGACGTGCAAACGAACGTCCTTCAAGATGCGTTGCTCGCGGTTTGAGAGTACCTACGCAGCGAAGCAGGTCAGTCGTAGCCCTTCTACAATGCCGACCTCAGATTTTCGGCCGATGGGAGCGGAGGGGACAATTCCGGCAAGGGCGATGATTCGCTGGCACCATAGCTCGCACACATGTCTGGTTCCCGGCCCAATTGTGCGGCACCCAATAGGCAGAATAATCCCCACAACGCAACTGCAAACTACGGAGATGACAAGAAGGACGAATGTCAAACTTCAGAGAGTCAGTACTCTGCTTTAGAGCAAGAGGAAACCCCGCTCACCTGGATATCTCTAATCATCGTCAACAACATTTCCACACCAAATCCACGAATCACCACCAGAACAGGACATTGTGGTGGACGGCACACACCCAAGGGAGATGGATCTACCGAGCTGTCAAAGAAGCCCCTGAGCTACCCCACAGCTTCCGGACCATGGGATTGGCTGACCACACCAATCAACAAAGGTGCCTGAATACCGGTGCGCCGGATTCCGGGGAACTGAAGCCATGGCATGTTTTGGCTGCATGCCGCTGGTAGTTGTCCCGTGCCCGCAAATGAACCCCCACATTCCTGGCGGTATGAGGGCGGAGGGGACGACTCCGGCTGCTTCGTGATGTCTTCAACTGGATATGAGGGCATCAAACTCTCACCAGTCCGAATGGACATAAAAGGGAGAGGACGGCGAGATGCCCGCAGTTCTGACAAGGGCATCCTCTGGGCAGACCTTGGAATACTTTGACCCAGCATAACGATGAAACTTCTCGGTGCTCTTTTCGGTCTCGCCGCGGCTGGCTCAGCCATGGCGGCACCTGGGCCTTCCTTCGACTCGCCCACCCCAACCGTCAAGCGGGCTTCCAAGTTCCAGTTCGTTGGTGTAAACCAGGCCGGGGCCGAGTTTGGCAACAAAGACCTCCCCGGGACGCTGGGAAAGCACTACACTTGGCCGGTCCATTCTGCCATTGATGCAAGCACACGATCCTTCTGGTGACTGCATTGGTAGAGCTAACACCATGGCTGCAGACTCTCAACAGTAGGGGGTTCAATACTCACCGAATTGCTTTCATGATGTAGGTTGAGCGCAGTTGTCTATGCTCCCGTACGCCTTCTGATACGCAGTTTAGGGAGCGCTTGATTCCCAACAAGCTGGACGGCCCTCTAGATGCTGCCTACTCTCGCTCTCTGCAGGAGGTAAAGAAGATTCTCATGATGCCCCACTACACTTCTACAGAGGCCTAACACTCATTTGCAATAGACCGTTGAGTACGTCACCAGCAAGGGCGGCTACGCAGTTTTAGACCCCCACAACTTCGGTAAGGGCACCTTCAATGTTCTCGAAGCACAATTTGACCATCATCTCACCCTGCCAAGGTCGATACTACGAGAAGATCATCACCGACGTCGACGGGTTCAAGAAATGGTGGACCACAGTTGCAAAGCTCTTCGCAACAAACCCCAGAGTAATTGTATGTTTGATGGTCGCCGTTCTATCCACATTCTTTCATTCTTTCACCCTGTCGTGACGGGAGGAAGAGAAGGAGCTACCCCTAAGACATCCAAGAACATTGCACAAAGGAAGTCAATACCTCGCTGACATCTACCGAAACAGTTCGACACCAATAATGAGTATCACGATATGCCGCAAGATCTTGTCGTTCGTCTCAATCAAGCCGCCATCGATGGCATCCGGGGAGCCGGCGCTACATCTCAATACATATATATCGAGGGCAACAGCTGGACTGGCGCCTGGACCTGGGTGTGTCCCCCCCCTTTCTACCGCCTCTTTTCCCTGACTCTCCTAACACCCCACTCCCCAGGTCTCAAGCGGCAACGGCGCGACCTTGAAAGATCTCAAAGACCCCTCAGACAAGCTCGTCTACGAGATGCACCAATACCTCGACTCGGACGGCTCTGGCACCAGTCCCAACTGCGTCTCCAGCACTATCGGCGTCGAACGCGTCCGCGAAGCAACGAACTGGCTCAAGGCCAACAACAAGAAGGGTATTCTCGGCGAAACAGCAGGAGGAGCAAACGCCCAGTGCATTGCGGCGTTGACGGGGATGCTCAAGTATCTGCAGGATAACTCGGATGTGTGGACTGGATGGTTGTGGTGGTCCGGAGGACCGTGGTGGGCGGATTACATGTTCAGCATTGAACCTCCGAGTGGGACTGCGTATACCAGGGTCCTGCCAAGTCTGTTGCCTTATATCTGAGGGATATCGGGCGAAGGATCTAGGCCACTGTCTTGGTGTCCAAATGGAAGAGTGCTAGGGGGTAGGCTGGCTCCGGATCATCACAGCAGCGGCATTTGAAGCTCTCCCTAAAGTACATGGTGGGTTTTATTTGAAGCATAATCCAAACCCCAACGCCTTCCACACGACCTTGACTCCCAGAGTTCTATACCGTGGAGGAACATGATAAGTCCAGTACATAGCCCAGGTGATGCCCAGCCATCCACAAGCCCCCAAGACTCAACGCCACCATCTAACCTAACTTCCGCCACCTCGTCATCCAACCCCCATAAGCCGAGCAAGCGACACTCCCTTACTTAACCAGAGAATCAAAATAAGGCAATCGGCAAAAGCTACAGGGCGGGTAGTGTAGCGGTCAGCGTGTTCACTATTACAAGCGTTATAAGCGTTGCTTTTCCAGCGTTTAGCGAAAGTCCTGGGTTCGAATCCCAGCCCGCCCAAGCCCCTTGTTTTTGCCTTGCACTGGCACACTAGCAGCGATGACAACTAATGCATCCTATTGTTGTATGCTCTTTCTTATAGCCTACTTGAACTAGCTGCCCCTGCATCTAGACCGAACGCCCAACTCCCGCATTTCTCTATGCAAAAACCTCCTGGTGACACGATGATACCCAAGGTTCAATCTAAGATGCCATTTTCAACTCATCGTCCCCCTCGCCCTCTGACGAAAAGTCTTGATATCCGGCCAATCGACACGGCCGCAGTCTCCCTGGTCGTTGATCCACTTCAGGATCTTCTCGACGTCCCATCCACTGATCACCTGCTTCGCACTGTCCGGATGTCGCTTTACCGGCTTTCCCATGCTGAACTCCTTGTGGAAACTGCACAGTCCATGGTAGTACTTCCACTGGAAGCACTCCTTCGCGCTCTTGCACGCAGCGGCGCATTTCCCAGCCGACAAGTGTGCCACTTTCTCGGCTGCGTTGTACTTGTCTCTATCCTTCACCTTGTCCTTCTTGTCCGACCAGTCTTGACTCCTGCTGGTGGGATCAAAATAGTGTTGGTCGTTGGAGTTGTTGTCCCAGTCCTCCCGTATGGACTGAAGTTTTGGTCCGAGGTATTGATGGTAGACGTCCTTGATGAGAAGTGGGCGATATCGAGAAACGCTATTCCAGGACCGCTCGAAGCTCCAGAACTCGTCGATTTCTTGGCTGTTCATGTGGTGCATCGTGATGATGGGGTGACACCACTGTCTCGAGCCGAAGGGAAGTGTGGATGGTTTTTCTCCATTCAAGCTTGGCCACTGTGACGAATGTTAGCAGAAACGTTGCTGATCAGTAACAAAGCCAACTCACCGCCTGAGTGACATCGATCCCAGCTTTCTCCTTCATCGCTTTCGCAAACACATAGTCGCCCCACGACTCCTGCTTAGCCACCGTGTCATAGGCAGCCGCAATGCCTGGGTTCTTCTTCAACAGGCTAGCCATTCCCGCGGCGCTGACAACATAGCCGGAACCGCCGTGACCGAACGGAAATCCTCCCCACATTGCAACACTCCCCATGTACAGCTTCTTCCGTGGATTCAGTTTCACCAGCCACTGGACCAGGTTGGGTACCGAGATGTATGTGTCGGCTTCAATAAACACATACCAATCGTACCCGGGGCGCATCTTGTACGCCATGTCGGCAACATGGAGGAACTTGTACTTATCAAGCTTCCACCCTTCCTTGGCTGTGTCCTCGCCAAGTTTGTTGCAGGCCTCGACGTCGACAAGACACTTCTTTTGGCGCCGGTAGACGTCAAAGTCGGGATTCCCCTCCTTCACCTCCTTCAAGACATTCTCAAGGCTGTCGTGAATGCGATATCCGCCGATGTTTTGGTTGAGGTCGCTGAAGAGGAGGAAGTCGGGCACGCACTTGAGCGTGGTTATCAGCTGGGTTGGGACTTTCGCAAACGCCTCGGATGCGCCTGTCTTCATCACCAGCAGCATGTTGCTGGTGTCTGGGAAACCCTCACATATGGTGGCATGGTTAGGATGTGGAGAGACTCGGGACGCATTCACAGGCGCCTGATGACTGCGGTGAGGGTCCCAGCGGTCGTAGTATCCGTCAACGTCGGTCCAGGTGTGCAGGCGATCAGACACGGTGGCGATGAACAGGAATAGGGCGATGCCTGCCGTCGCAAAAGCGAGGAGGGACCGGCGTGACAGCACCATTCTCGGGGAGCAACGGCGAAAAGGGAGGCGAGGACTTGGTCGGTCCATCGTCATGCTGGTATTGAATTGTTCGACATTGCGCTCGTGATGCCATTCCACGGACGTTTGCAAGAGGCGGCCTTGGGCACCGCATTAAGAAGCGCAAGACGCATCTCGAGGAACTTTGCAAGATTGTAGGGCAGTGGGGTGATGAAGGGGGACACGGGTGGGAAGAGACTAGAACCTGTCCCGCATCGCTGACTGCGCCTGGTGGGGTTACAGACAGGAACAGGCAAGGGGCCTCGTTTGTCGAGTGAGTGGCGAGTAGCAAGCAGAGGCACAGACTTGACAATGCACGCTGCCTTGTGAAGGATTCAGGGAAAAAGGACCCTGGATCACTTGCAGCGCCAAGAGCGGCGAACTGGCACCGTCACGAACATCAAAAACATCGTCGTTTCTTGACACTCAAATGGCGATCTACTCGTCTCGTACCTCATGTCTGCAGCTTCACACGAATATGTCATCCTCTCTGCTGAACGAAGATCACGGGAACGTCGGCCTTGCGAAATCCACTGGGACCCATTGGTGATAGCATTATTCAGCGTCCAGCAAGGTAGCATCTCCGCGCCCGCTGACCTCTGATACGGGTCCCATCCAATGACGCGGCAGCGGCACGGCGGCACAGCTTGTTTCGACCTGGAATTCCTCGTGCCAAAGCGCCTTCCGCCCGCGATCGCTCAAAATGAAACAACCTAAAAGTTCAACGGTATGGTATCTCAATGGACAGCTGTCAACTACCCCGGCCCGCCAAGCCTCGTGATGGGGACACGAGGGTGAGGAGGCTCATTCGCCGCATCTTCTTCAATCTCCGCGCAGGATCAACAGCTTGTAGATCTTGGCGACGATGGCAAGCTGCAAACCAAAAATACGCGCACAGCATCGCATGAGACCGATTGCTTCCGTCTTACTGGGGAGTAAGGCCGCTACCCGCTACCTGGCCTCCAATCCTACCCACATGCACTGTTTGAACTGAGCCCATTGTGGTGACGCGTCTTAAGCTAACAAACACGAGCGCACAGCAAATACCACCTCGGGAGTGCCCCAAGGCCACGAAATGGCGAATACGCGGTAGTGGTAAGGTTGTCGCATTGAACCAGCGGCCACCCCAAAAGCCAGGGTCCGCCAGACACTCTCACATCACCAACATCACCACACCCGCCACAGCCAACGCCCAAGTCGAAACCCCCAACACCCGAGATCCAACACTGGGATCCCCTGCCCCTCCAGCCTGAAGACACGACATCCACCCCACGCTATCACGAGTCTGATTCCCCTCCCCGAAATGCGTCCACGTCAAAACCAATGGCCAAATCACATTCTCCGCCTTTGCCAATAACGTCGCATTCCCTCGGCGCGCAAACGGCGCAGACCCTGCAGCAAAGAAAATGCCAGCATCGCCGTCATCACGAGGTGCGACCTCTGCCAACTCACGTCAGCAACAACCCCCACATTTCAACCCCGCCCCCTTTTCCCTCCCCGCCAAAACACCAACACCCTAAACAATGGAAGAGGACGCAGACTCACCATAACCAACACCGCTCCCGTCCCCAGCAATATACCCTCCACAAGTCTCCGGCACCTCCATCCCAGCACACCCACCCTCACTCCCGTTCCCTCTCGGAGCCACACTCCTCGCCTGCAACTGCGCGATGCACGGTCCCGGCAGGTACGCCCCGCACTCTCCATCCCCTGACCCCGCCGTCGCATTAGCCAAGCCCCCCGTAAACACAATCGCACAAACCCTCCAGTCCCTCTTTCTCCATGACGGCGTATCCAAATCCGCCGGCGGGGTGATACTCAATGCCGTCATCTCTATGTACTTGTCCTCGTTTCTATTTATCTTCTGATCTGAGGCCCCCGCGAGCGGGACGTTGGCGGAAACGCCAATGGCGAGTGTCCATCCTGAGAGAGTACTCCCTGTAGCGATGGTCGAGCCGGCAGGGATAGAGGTGTTGTAGCCGTGGATGGAAACGGCCAGGTAGGAGTTGGGGACTTGCGATGCGTCGGCGACGGTAGAAGTGGGGATTCCGTAGGGTCCCGGGAGGGAGGAGAGATCGCCTCCTGTGAAGGATTGAGCGGAGGTTAGTAGGGGAAGGGAGAAGATGAAGAAGAGGGAGAGGAGGTTGTGATGGTGCATAGTGGGGTTGTGGGATGGATGTGCATCGAGAGAATACGGCATGCGCAGCGCTCGAGAGCTCTGGTGAGGGTGGTATCAGCAAGCGGATGTGAGAGAACGGAATGGGAGCGCCGGCTGACACGGTCGGGCTCTCGGGGACCGAGTCCCTCAGTTGACGCAAGCAAGGACTCTGCCGCGTGTCGATGGGATGGGGACGTGGTCGGACGAGGTCGGTGCATGAGCGTACAGACGCAGCAGCAAACATCCGCCGGTTCGACCACGTAGTAGTGTCACTCAGAGGAGCGGGAGAAGTTCCCATGTTGAGAGACAGAAGATTCGAGATTTGAGCAGAAGCTTGTCGTACAGGAGCATTGTTCTACTCCATTCTGTTGCGTGGTGACGTTTTACAACATAGCGAGCCCGTCCGAGGAGGAAGCAGAAGCCAACACAAAGTTAAGCATGGGCGCAGGAACGGCGGCAACTTTCGCTAACCAAACAATCGGGACAAACTACCTTTAGCGCCGCATGCTTAACCTCACAAGCCGAGACACCAGCGGATGACGACACTACGTCCTGTTCATAGGTGTTAAGTACACTGGAAGCCAGGTTTGATGTTGAGGAAGAACTGTTTGTGATCGAGCCAGTCAAGATTCTCGTCAGCCAGCTGCATGTCGAACTTGTAGGTGATCTTGGCCAAGATGAGCCGCATTTCTGCATACGCTAGACTAGACGTAAAGTCAGCATGTGGATGGACAAGAGCAGGAACAGGCCGCCACTCACTTGCGGCTGACGCAGTTCCGAGGACCGACTGAAAATGGCTGCACAATATCGAGCTTGTCGTTGGCAAACCTCGGATCGTGAAGGAATCTCTCGGGGTGGAAGCTAAAGGGATCAGTAAAGTTCTCGGCAGAGTGGTATGCGGCCTATTGCCAGACTGCTACTATGGTCTAGGAAGAAGTTAGGAACAGTGTCATTGGATATGGGTGTGGCCTCAACTCACTTCATCTGGAATAACTTCTCCGGCAATGACCGCGCTGCCACCCTTCGGTATCATCCTCGGTAGGCCAACTGATACAGGCGGGTATCTACGGAGCCTCCTCATTCAGGCATGCAAGCATATAGTCCAGCT